TTGGTGCAAAATTAAAAATTTTTACATTAACATTAATGAAAAAAATATATCTTTAAACGTATAAGAGAAAATTTCAGAAAGCCTTAATTTTAAAGAGTTCTTGCTAATTGACAGTTTACATATTCGGCACGACATATATATATATATATATATATATATATATATATATATAAAATATATATATATATATATATATATATATATATATATATATATAATATATATATTATATATATATATATATATAATATATATATATATATATATATAATATTATATATATATATATATATATATATATATATATATATATATATATATATATATATATAATATAATTTTGTTCTTCCAGTACATTATGTTCTGAAACACGTAGTTGAGAGCCATGTATAAAGAAAAGATTTTATATGTAAATAAGGAAAAAAATGTTAGGAAGTGCATAATAACTAAATGAGAAAAACATTGCAGAAACAATAAGATACGATTTTTTAATTACTATCGGAAAGAAAAATGCCTATTTTTAAGAAGAGTGAAAGTGAATAAGAGGAAAGTTCATGTGAAAATTTATACGATGCTGAGTTATTTGTAGGAATATATTTTCAAGGAAATAGGCAAAAGTGGTAAAAAATATCTAAAATATCTTTGTATGTAGACACAGCGTGTATATACTAAGATACATGTATCTCTCACTGTATATACACAGAGCTTACTTTAATCCCTATATTAGGGGCTAAAGTATTCTTGGTGTTAGAGTCTAGGTGGATGGCGACCTTAATGACCCTCGTGTAGTCGATAGGTCTCAAAAGTAACACATTGATTAGGTATGTAAATATGAAAACGATGAGGATCTAGGCACCATCCATCACACCTGAGAAATATGTGCATGCACGTGCTCTCCAACTTACAAACAAGCTGCGTTCTTTGCTTTAGAATTAGCATACGCGTTGTTTGTATAGACAACAAATATACAAGCGGTGGTTAAGTTTCACGTACATTCGGACTGCAGCTCAGCGACTGTGTAAAACATTGATTAGTTGGTAACTGCTGAGAGTATTAGTGTGGGTGTGTGTAACTTACGATGCTTGTAAGTTAGGGAGTCATGTGTGTGTCTTGTGGTGCTGTGGCACCCTTGTAGGAGGGATAATTGTTCCCATCACTAATGTAAGGTGTTGTGATTGACTTAAAGGTGTAGATCCTGCCTCCAAGTGAAGCCAGTCTTTTCCTCGTGTCTCCCTCTTTCCCTATAAATTGTAACATTCTTATATTCCTTGTAATGAGTTAAATTACGTCTTCCTTTCTGGCGAGTGAACTTCACTTCCTAACTGGGCGTTCATACACGTCCTCCCTGGTTTGTTTAGTTGTGAAATGTGTTATGCTATAACGCAAGTTAATCCACGGGGACAGTATACCAGAAGTTTAATAATATATATTTCAGTGTTTGATCTCCTTTTGTCAGTTGTATTGTTTTCATGCAGATGATATTGTTCCATTTTTTCATATTTTTACACTGCATATATCTTCCCTATAAGAGACGAGTCATTAGACCTGCGTCACCTGGAGAGCAAGAGTGAAATGGTCACTCTCAGGTATGCTGGTTTAGTTAGTAAAAACTCACACTTAATACAAGTCACCCAGGACAATAAAGTAGTAATAGTAAGAGAGTATCCCCTGACCAGTCTAGTGGTTCGTATATCACTCCTGGCAGTCGGGTCTTCAAAGAGCCAGTTACTCATCGTGTGGACATTATCATTACCGATACTCTACCTCTGAGTGTGTTCTTCGTGCCGGTCAAGAAGACAACCAAAGATGTTCTCACTCTAGTCAGTGGCGGCACTGTAGCCGCCTTCATGTAGGTGCCATATTACATTTCATATTCTGTACTTGTGTTTGTGCTGTATTTCATGGTTTTCGTCTCACTAAATGGTGTGTGGCGCTCCCTCTCCTTCCTGCTTCTCAGTGTTCAGTCTCTGTAATAAATGTTCTCGCTCTACACTGTACGTCGAAGGTGAGACAGGAATTTCTCACCACATCACTGATATCCAAATAAGAAACCACATGCTATGGTAAAGACATTTTTTTTCCAGTATCTGCGAAGTTCGGTGTATTCTGGAGTCCTCTGCATAAAATATACAACTTAAGGTTATTTGTATGAAATGAATCAGCTGTCTGAAACACACACAGTGTCGAGAACTGAAAAATTAGGTATTAAACTTTCGTAAATCTTTCAGCTATTGGGGATAAAAATGAAGATTTTGTCTGTGGTTTGAAACACTAATAATCAGGTAATAGATTAGTGTTTAAGGTATGCGGGAGCCTAGTCTGAAGCCTAGACAGAATTTTATTAACAAAGATTTTCACTGATTAACCCTATCACTGTGTCGTGTGATGGTGATATATCAGAGGTCGGGTCAACTATTGCTTTGAAAGGTCGAGCAGTGGCACTGACGAACGTGAGGAGGCACTGAGAATCGAATGACCAAAAAAAAAAAAAAACGTGTGTGTGTTTCCCACTCACGTAGTATCGTGCAGGTATTCTATTGTGGGTCATCTGGTGGAGCTGTGACTCTTCCATCTC